GAGGGAGGGTTTGGAGGGGAAGGGCTCGGGGAGGGAGGGTTTGGAAGGGAAGGGTTCGGGGAGGCAGGGTTTGGAAGGGAAGGGCTCGGGGATGGAGGGTTTGGAGGGGAAGGGTTCGGGGAGGCAGGGTTTGGAAGGGAAGGGCTTGCGGAGGAAGTGCTTGCAGCCTCGTGGGCGGGCTCCTGCCGTGGTTTTAGTTTCGTTTCTGTGCTCTCGCTGCAGCCATGGCTACAGCTCGGGAGGGATGTGGATGGGCTAACAGCCTGGAGGCCGAGCTCACCTGCCCCATCTGCCTCGGGCTGTACGAGGAGCCGGTGTCGCTGAGCTGCGGCCACAGCTTCTGCCGGCAGTGCATTGAGAAGGTGCTGGGAACCCAGCAGAATTCCCAGAGCCCCTGCCCCACATGCAGGACCTCCCTGGGGCCCAACCTGGAGTTGCAGAAGAACTTCAAGCTGGACAGCATCGTGCAGGCTTTTCAGGCCACCACTTCCGACGAACAAGGGGCTCTAAGGGAAGGCCTGCAGCAGGACGAAGGCGCCGAGGAGGGGAAGAGCGAAATGGTTCCCTGCGAGTATTGCCTGGATGAGCCCCAGCCGGCCCTGAAAACCTGCCTGGTTTGCGAGGTCAGCCTGTGCCGGGTCCATCTGAGCAAACACAACGCCAGGGGTTTCCATCAGGAACACGTCCTGGTGGAGGTGGGAGCAGGGAAGGCGGAGGAGAGGAGGTGCCAGGATCACGGCAAGCTGCTGGAATGTTACTGCCTGGGAGAGGAGGAGTGCATCTGCGTTCTCTGCTGCATCGCCGGGGCCCACAGGGGCCACAAGGTTATCGCCATGAAGGAGGGGCACGACAGACAGCTGGTAAGGAGCTCTTCCTTCCCCATGGCCCCTGCCTTGGAAGGGGGAAAGGAAAGGAAAGCCGCAGGAAGGTTGGTGGGGCTTTCACGGGGAATGGGGATGGGTGTGAGGGCAGCTCCAGGGATTTCCTCTCTGCCCCAGCAAGGGACTGCTGCACTGTGGTGCAATTTGCTTTTTACTCCCTCCTGTGTGTTGCCAGAATAGTGTGGACAGCTGAGCAAAGGGAGAAGAGCTGGGAAAGGTGTTTGGGGCTGGCCGGGACAAGCGTGGGTCAGTCCCTCAGGGTGTGGGGACAGAGCCAGCCAGAGGCTCCGCTGCCCCACTGAGGCGCAGCCCCGGGACTGCCAGCCGCCTGCCTGGGATTGAGAAATATTCCTGCAGAGATTAGAAAATCCCTTCCTCCACAGAGCCCCGGGAATGCCACTGCTACTGAACTTGGGCTGGGGAAGGGAGATTTCCCTCTCCGGGTCGTTTCCCTGGGTGCTGTCCGTGTTGCAGCACGGTGGGGATCAGCACTGTGCCCCAGTAAGCAGTGACAGGATGAGGGGACACAGTGTCAAGCTGTGCCGGGGAGGTTCAGGTTGGACATCAGGAGGAATTTCTTCACTGAGAGGGTTGTTAAACATTGGAAGGAACTGCCCAGGGAGGCTTGGATCCCCATCCCTGGTGGTGTCCAAGGATTGACTGGATGAGGCACTCAGTACTCCAGAATCAGCTGAGACTGAGGGGATAAAATGCATTTCCTATGCTCACACACTGCCTCACAATTGAAATATCTGGGCTCAGTTTAGAGCCCAAGCAAAACCCCTGCAGGAACCCAGTGCACGACCAGGAAATGGCTCCCTCTGGACAGCTCACAGCCTCCTCAGGAATTAGCAGAAACATCCTTTGCAGTTACATGAATTGCAAACTAACTTTGTCCCCCAAATTGCTTATCAGAAGTTCAGGGCTGCCAAGCAGAAGTGGGATGTGTGAGACGATGGCCTTTTCACCAGCTCCACAAACTGCCAGTCTGGTTTGAAGCTGTTCCTGATGGGAAGTTCAGTGCTGTCTTTCCTCCTGCCAGGTTAAACTCATCGACACCATGGAACAGCTGGAGGTATACAAAAATAATTTTGTTACTGCTCTAGAAGATCTTCAGGAAAGCGAGAATCAGATCAAGGTTGGTATCCTTATTATTGCTAATTCAGAAAATCTTCCCTTCACAGTTTCCCAGCAATAAGGGATGGTAACTATACTGTTAGAAGCAGATGAATAGAGAGGGGGGAAAGAGTGGTTTGAGAAACTGGCAGAAGTCAAGATTTATTGCAGCCTTCCAGCTCTTCCACAGGAGGAACCAGCTGGGGGATTCCATCTGGTGTTGTGGTTGCACAGACCAGGTTGCAGGACTGGCAGCCCACAGACTGTACATAAGATTATGTGTTTTTAAAGTTTTCTACCTGTTTAATAAAAGAAAAGCAATTTATATCTACAAGTGGGTTTTTCAGTGTGTACCAGTAAACTCTCATATTGGTAGCTGAAATTCATCTGACTTTGTTACTGTATCAGGATTAATTTTGAAAAGCCTCCGTTGAATCAGATATTCTAAGCAAATGTTTATTGTCTGCTTCCTCCTAAAGCCAGGACAGATACAATCCTAATTGATAAGCAGGGACACTAAACTGAAGGGTGGTGTTTCTGAGCCAGTGCCCCTTTTTCTTATCTCTTCATTTAGATCAATACCAAAACACTGACTTCTCAGCTAGAAGAACTGTTTGAAAAAGTAAAGACGGAGCTTGATGAGAAAATGACAATGATACTGAGTGACATTCAGTCTAATGAGGAAGCAAATCTGGAAATCATTGCCAACACAAGGAAGGAAATGGAACAGAAGAGAGACCAGGCTGAGCAGAATCTTCAGGCTTTGCAGGAGATAAAAGAGCAACCAGATATTTTCCTCTTCTTCAAAGTAAGCAGTGGTATTCTGCTTTTCTTCATGGATCTGCCAGGTTTCTCAGCCAGGTGACCTTTCTGAAAGTCACACTAATGATGTTTTTTCTTTCTTTTTTTTTTTTTTTTTTTGCAACCCTGTTTTCAGGAACTGAAACTGGTCACAGATAGGTATGTTCCACTTCATAACACTTGTTTTCTTCTTTGAAAAAATATGGTGTTGATAATTGGGATCAAACCCCACCACCCTGTGCAGCAAAGCTGCTCCCTACACCAGCTGAGCCAGAGGGCACCACATCCACACAATTAACAGGGATGTAGAGATCACTGCCTGCTGTTGTCCCTTTACATTTCAGTTTCATTTTGGCTGGTTTCTGATGAAAACCACTGGCTTTTATTGCCAGAAGGCTGGTTTTATCAGAGATGAAGCCCCTAGGGTTCAGTTTACAGTAACACTGTTTTGGATGCACATTGGTGACCCTCCCTCAGCTGAGTTCCCAGGAAACAGCCTTTGGCAGCAGTGGTAACCAGCTCATTTCCCACCAAGTTTCTGAGCTGTGGACAAGCTTGGTAGCTAGAAAGATTTATTATCACTTCTCTTGCTAGTGATATCTTCAATTTATAATTTACCACTTCCTATGCAATGCCTGGTTGTCAGCTGTAATTCAGTGGTGCAGCAGCACACCAGCAGTTCCAGATCCACAAGCAGCTTTGCAGCAGCACTGGAGGCCCCAGCT